CCTCCGGACACGTGGGCCAAGGCCGGCGCGTACCATGAAGTCCTGGCTGATGTAGTTGCGAGATGCTCCGCAATCGATCAAGGCATTGCAGGTCGCCTCTCCGATCTGAATGCGTATGTATAGCAATGGTGCGTCGATGTCGTCGTACCGTTGCGTCTTGAACTCGCGGTCGATCTTCGCGATGAAAGCGTGAAGGTCGACAACCTCTGCTCCGGCGTCCATCAACGGAGCTGGTACTGCAGTGTGCAAGTAGTCCCGCAATTGTGCCATAATTACGTTGCAATGTGGTTTCGACAATCGTCCGGTCGAGGGAACGGGCATCTAGTGGAAGTCCGTGAACATCAATGGGTCGAGCTCTTCAAGTCTTGACCATGACGTCGAATCCCCGGCCATAGATTGCGGCGAAGCTGCCGAATCGGTTGCYGATGGTGATGAAACCGTGCATGCGGTGGACTTGCACGTGGAGCGGTTGGTCCAGCGGTGGAACCAAGTGGACAGCATAATCCTCGTAAGTATACCGAGGACTTGCGACATTCGCATCCTCCCCAGATGTGCAGGAGGCCGCTAGCAAGGCGGCCGAATCTGGCGGAGTAGAAGGTGGAGTCGCCTCACCTTCCGCGGAGCTCAGTTYCCCGAGCTGAGGCGGGGTCGCACATCCTCCTTGCCCTGATCTTGGCACAGGGAGGTCTTGTGCTTGGTGCTGTTGCACCAATAGCAGCTGCCGTAGCGGCCGCGGACCTTGYACTCCGCCTCGGTCAAGCCAAACTTGACCCATGGAAATTGTCCTGGCTGTCCATTTCCGGCCTGCGATGCGGATTTCGCCTTCCCATTGTTACGGGACTTGTTGGTGCTTCGCGGTTGGACAGCGGCCACCTGATCTCCGTCACTTGATACTGGAATGGCTGCTGGGTTATCTCCACTGTCCTGCTGGACTGCAGCGAAGTGCTGCTGTCGCGGACCAGTTCGTGCTTTCTCCACATAGGTCGGTTGCCATGTTGATTTCTCGTGTGCAGCTGACCTGTTGGTTTTGATGATCTCCCTCGCTTTATCAATGATCTCCGCAAAGGTTGAGTACTGCTCGCGATCACCAAGAGCCTGGCTCAATGCCGCACAGGACCTGTTGTAGAACTCACGGCGTAGATGCTCGAATGGTAGGTTCAGATTGGGCACAGCCGCAATCTTCTGCCACTCCGTGAGCCAGTCCCGTGTTGCTGTGTTGCCCTGTGACATGGTGAACAAACGGTTGATGGCGAGTGCCGGCGCGTCGTCGACGATGAACCGCTTCTTCCACAGCCGTGTTAGTTCCTCCCATGTGATTACGTCCGTTAAGTCTGGTACGTCGACGCCGTGGGAGGTTGCCAGGTGGCTCAACCAGGTCTGGCATCCGCCCTTTGAGTTCAGGAACAGGGCGCCGATGTACGCATGCTTGGCTACTGGCAGAATCCTGAGTTGCGTTGTGAATGCTTCCCACCAGAGAGCGGGATCCTGCTGCGTGTAGTCGTCGAACCTCTCCAGGTTGAAAGTTGGCATCTTGTACATCTTCGGATTGTCGTCCGCGTTCGTCGACTGCAGCTTCTAGACCTCGGTCTTCAATATATGCAGCTGACTGCTGATGGTGGTGGTCGGCGCAGCGAAGGTGCTGATGTCGCCGAGCATTGCGACTACATGGTCAACGCGGTCCTCCAGTTGGCGGCTTGAGGGTGCACTGCTGGAAGCTCCAGCAGCTGGTCCTGGTACTGCCTGTTCCAGGTACAACAATCGGGCATTGAGTGCCCGAGTTGCATCCTCATGGCTCTGCACTGTGCGGCGGAGCGTCGCCAATTCCTGATGCTGTCTCTCCAACTCTGACCTTTGGTAGTTGCAAGCATACAACAACCGCGTCACGAGTTTGGAGAGGAACTCCTTGTGCTTTTCTTCCGGTGTTGCGTCGTTGCCGTTCAGTTGAAAATGTCAGTACTTGAGTCTGTCGATGCTGTTGGCTTCATGCCGCTGCAGCAGATCCTGGGCTTCCTTTCGGCGAGCCTGGGCATCTGCTTCTGCATCGGCCTGTAGCCGCAGTTTCTCTGCTGCTGCTGCCTCTTCAGCTTGTATGCGGGCAGCCTCGACTGCCAGCAGGCGTTGTTCCTCAACCTCTATCCGAGCGAGGCAACGCTGCTTGTAGGCGGCAATGGTCTCATTGGCCAGTTGGCCTGGCAGGCCCGTCATGTTGTTGACGTGGCAATGCTGCTTACGTGGCACGGCTGATGTGGCACTGCGTCTGACGTGGTACTGCTGACGTGGCACTGCTGACGTGGCACTGTGTTGAACGTCACTGCTGACGTGGCACTGTGTTGAACGTCACTGCTGACGTGGCACTGTGTCTGACGTGGCACTGTGTCTGACGTGGCACTGCTTACGTGGCACTGTATGTCTGACGTGGCAATGTGACCTGGCACTGCGGACGTGGCACTGCTGATCTGGCACTGCGGACGTGGCACTGCTGATCTGGCACTGTGATGTGGCGCTGCTGACGTGGCACTGTGACTTGGCACTGTGACGTGGCACTGCTGACGTGGCACTGCTGATCTGGCACTGCTGATCTGGCACTGCTGACGTGGCACTGTACCGAAACGGGATGCATGCAAGGGGTGGGTGGGAGGGAAAACGGAGGGAGGTAACCAACCCAACAATGCTTTCCTCCGGCCCTAATCAACAGATAAGATAAAAAAATAAAAAAATAAAA